ACATGCTTGTAATCCTAACACTCAGGAGGCTGAGGCAGGAGGACTGTTTCGAGTTCGAGACCAGCCTGGGCTATAAAGTGAGCTCAAGGCCAGCCTAAACTGCATAGAGAGACCCTGTCTCAAAAAAGACAACTAAATAAATAAATAAATAAAACCAAAGAATGAATTTCAAGAACAGAGGTTAAGAGCAAAATATATTTATTAAGAGAAAGAAAGCTTCTGACCCCGCCTTTTCCAGGGATTTTATAGAGCAAAACCATGAGGTGAGGCAAGTCTGAGGTGCAGAAAATGTAGGAACCTGCAAGGTGAGCATGACGTGGGATAGAACTGGTTAACCAATAAGATTAATTGCTCAGGCAAAATTGATTAAATCTGGGACAAATGGGGAAGAGAGTCACATAGCAGGCGGGCATGCTTAGAGAGCAGTGACTTCCTGCAGGGGGATGGGATGGTGACTCCTGGCCTTCTCAGGGTGATGGACACCTATTTAGAGTACCAGTCCTTAGAATGTGGATGTATTTGCTTGATGTTTATCTCGAGGTTTGGGCTGTAGCAGAGGTGTCTGTCTCCCAATAGTTGCGAGGTATCTGGTGTTCTGCACTGGCTCCTTTGAGCGCCCAGCCCTGTCTGACTGCCTGTAACAAGAGAAGGGTTGGTTTGGGGGCGTGGTGTTCAGGGAAGGGGATTCTTACTTTTGTGTAGTGTACATTTTTTATAGCACACCTGCTTGAAGTAAAACCTGCTATAAATCTTTTTAAAATAAATTCTCCCAGAGAATCCAAAGCAGTTGTGCTGTCTCACACTGTTCATGTTCTCTTTCTTTCTTCCAAACCCACCAGGGCCGTAAATAGACCAAGAATTTTAAAAAGCCTGATTAAAGCTGCAGCCCAATGGCTGAAATTGAGGATGCAGAAGTTGCTGGCTTTGGATGTCTGTGGACCCCTGAGGAAGGAGGTTGAAGGTTTCATGGGCTGAAGGGCCACATAGCTTGCTGGGTTCCATGGACATGAATAACTCCCCTTTACAACCTGCTTCCCCAGGCCCCAATTTAGCATCTGAATGACAGTCCTTGCCCAGCAGCACATAGTATATAGTGACTCCCCCAAATATCAGGTGGCCTCCGAATTCCCGAGGGCCACCTTTGCTGTGACTAACAGGTCCTGGAGACTCCTGGGGTGCACCTGCAGCCAGGTAGGGGAGGGTAAGAGAGATCAGGAGGGAGGGGAGTAGTCAGCGGTGCCCTGTCAAAGCTCCTTCTGAAGAAACCTCTCCTCTTGTTACTGAAACCATGGGTGCCCCGGGCAGTGACGTCACCCTAGGCCAAGATCCTGCTGGCCTGCAAGGGTCCTCCACCTGTTCCCACAGACAGCGAGCAGCTTTGGATGGCTTTCAGGAAGGCCCAGGGAGTCAGAGAGCTACAGAGGGAAGAGAGTGTTGCCAGTGCGGAAGTGACACAAAAGGCCAACGTGGACACTGTTTCCCAGGGGAGCCAGCATGCTCCTGCAGGCAGCGGCTGGAGCCCTGCATGTTCCTAGTTGGGCCACATATGTGAGCTTCTGGCTGCTGCTGCTGCTGCTGCTGCTGCTGCAAGGGGCAGGGCTGGGGCCAGAGTCAGCAGAAGATGCCAAAGTGCTGCCCACTTGGCCACCTGGCAACCAGTCTTAGGTCAGGGGACAAAGGAGAGACTCAAAGGAAATATGTGGGGTGAGGGAGGAGCAAAATAAAGACCTGAGGTGCTAGGAACCCCAAACTATAACCCCTTAAACTTCCAGGACAGCCACGACTGAGCCTGAAATGCCAGTTTGGTGAATGGGTGGAGAGGAAATTTCTCTTTGGCCAAGTGAACGTTGGAGCAGCACAAAGATAATTGCTTCTCCTTCGAGCTTCCTCAGTGTGGCATCATCAAGATTGTCCCAGTGAAGCCCAGAGTGATGGCAGACACTTGTAAATCCAGCCCTCTGGGAGGCTGAGGCAGGAAGATTGCAAATTGGAGCCCACCTTGGGCAACTTAGTAAGACCTTGTTGCCAAATAAAAAGGGATTCACAGTGTAGCCCAGGGTGAAAGCCCTGGGATCAAGCACCAACACTGCAGGGGGAAAAAGTCCTATTTCAGCTTCTGGATGCGGGAAAGAAGTATTCTCATCAGGGCTCAGTTTATGGGGACCCCTAAGGGGCAAAGAGATAGGAGGAAAGGCAGAGACAGAGACAAATGCAGACCCAGGAACGTGAGCACAGCCCCTCTGTCCTGAGCAAGGAGAGCCAGGGAGCCTCTCCGGCCATCAAGGGACAGGTGTGGCTCTGTCTGATTTCTGTGCCCGGCTGTTTGCCTAGGTAGACCAGGGACCTGGTGCTGTGTGTCACCGCTCTGTCAGTCTGATCTGGCACCTCAGTTCTCCCCTGACCCCAGGGCCAAATGTTCCCTCGCTCTGCCACCAGCCTGGCTCCCGGGGGCCCCCCGCCCACCCACCTCCACCTCCGTCCTCATGGTGCCCTGGCTCCTATGGCCTCCACCTGCAGGGCCACCCTCCTCCCTCAGCTGCCAGGACCAGAGCCCACCTTGCTGGGACTGGGTAGAGCCACCATCCAGCCCGCCCTGCACACCAGCAGACCAGCTTCCGGCCTCTGCTGCTGCTCCCTGGTGACTTCCTGCACTTGGGACGCCATCCACACAGCCCCACCTACACCTTCCTCCCTTCCTTCCTTCCCCCCACCTAGCACCCCTACCTACATGCCCTGGCATCTTGCTTCCTTTCCTCACCTCCCCCTGCCAACATCAGCCCCATCCATTCCTCTGAACCCCCGTCCACACCTTCCCCCATCCATTCCTCCCCGTGCTGCCAGACGCCCACTCTCCTCCCTGCCCCAGGGCTGGCACAATGCTTTGTTCCTTTCTCTCCCTTCCAAAGTCTCTACATCGTGACTTATCCAGGGCTCCCTTATTGGATGGAACCTGAGAGCCCGCTGAGCGGAGTGGCAGTGCAGGCCTGGAGCACCACTGATGCCCTGCGGCAGAGACAGGAGAGAGAGGGAGGCGGCAGGTGTGAGGTCAGAGGCCTCACCTGAGGTCAGCCGCTTTTCCGAAACACAAGTTGCCCCTGAGGGTGAGACCAGGCTGGGGTAAGCCAGGGGGCCACCCTGTCTCAGGTCCCTGAGTGCAGGTCACCCCTAGGCAGTGTGACCAGGCACCTCTTTTCTTGCTGCAGGCCAGGCCAGGCCCTCCCAAAGCTCCTTCTGCTGTGCTCAAGCACCCTGCCTGATAGATAAACCCCATGGCTGTTTGCCAGGCATCCACTGTACCAGCTCTGCCTCGGCACTGTATATAATACAACAGTGGGTAAGAAGACACAGCACCTGCCCCCAGGACTTGCTGTCCGGAAGAGAGATAGGCGATCAAATAGGACACAGGTCCCATTCCTTTATAGCACTGTGCTGGCTATAGAAGGGACAGGTGGCTATAAATACAGGAGCCAATGAAAGATAAAAGAATCTAGAACCAGAGTGAAACAACTCAGCCAAACAATGGCTCTTGTTCAGCAGGCCTCTGCCCTGCCGCCCAGGTCCCTGCATCTCTGTTCTGCCCCACCCCAGAGCTACAGGGCAGTGGCCAGAGTGACATCACCAGGTGGCAGAGCCCCAGGAAATCTCTGGGAGGTTGCTAAGGAGATGGAGGTGCAGATGTTCACTACTGCACTGCGTGAGGTAATATGACCTGTCACACAGCTGCACAGGTGGCCCGGGCAGGGCCGAATCAGAACAACATGACGGCCACCTAATAAGGAACCATGTGACCCAGCAAGGATTAATGAGGGGAACACACACACAGCAAGCAACACAAAGAGACAATACAGGCAGGGTGCAGGGTAAAGAAACAGAACCAGGTTCAAGGCACGATACTGTCCGAGTAATCAGAAACACAGCCAGGCTGAGGCAGGAGGATCGCTGTGATCTGGAGGCCAGCCTGAGCTGCATAGTAAGGTCAAGACCAATCTAAACTACAGAGCAAGACTTGGTCTGTAAAACAAAAATGAATCAAGGTGCCCCAAACTGTGCTACATGTTTTACAAGGATGAATCCATATAGAGATGTACAGATCGAGGTAGGCACCCACACGTGGCATATTTACACATGTATATATCAAATACATTATAGTGGGTGCCTCCTGGGGAAAAAACAGAAGTACAGATTAGAGAAGACTCGAAGGGGACAAAACCCAGCCACCCCCAGCACGAGAGGGCTCCTGCACGGATGGGTAATAATCATGAGTCACGAACTCAAGAGAATGGGTCCTGGTCTCGTGACCCAGCACAAAACAAGGTGATAGCAAGCCACGGACTTGCAATCACCCTGACTTAGTGGGGGCACTGAGGGTGGTTTCATGGACTCTTTCTCAGGGATTTCAGGGATTATTTGAGAATATTCTCCATGTTTAAGGAATCGAAGGCTCAGAAAATGAGTTGTGCCCCTTTTGCAGCTCCCTGGTAGCAGCAGGAGGAAGAGGTTTGAGCGGGTGCTCGAGTCCCTCTCTTTGCCCCATTCTGTTTCAGCCCCGTGAGCCCATGTGGCCGGCATTTACTGAAAGGCCCATCTGTGTTCTCTCAGCACCAGGGACCCTTGCTTGTGTGGAGTGCACGGAGAAGCCCTCCTGGGGAAGAAGCCTGTCCAGGCTGACTTTCTCTCTGCTACTGCCTGTTCTCTCCTCTTTCCAGGACAGCCACCTGGAAGCCCTGATGAGCTTACTGCCCTACCGGGCAGGTAGGGGCAGAACCCAGCCAGGGCTCTCCCTGGCATGCATCCGGCTGAGGAAATGATGTCACCCATCGGCAGTGTGGGCGCAGGAGCAGTGGCCTGGAGGTCCTGTTTCCCACAGCCTCGCAGGACTCACTCTGACCATGGTGTGGCTGGGAGCCGCTGCTCCATGTGGGTGTAACGTGTTGATGTCAACAGTTTTGCTGCAACCCACAGACCCATAAAACTGCTGATGAGAAGACTGGATGGGGTATTAACAGGGGTCAATCGTCAAGGTGTGTCGCAGTCAGTTCTTTTTTTTTTAGCTTGGGCAAAGTGACTTTATTAGAGAAAGCCAGGGTTGCATAGGATTCAAGAGCTGGCATTGGGGCCTTTCTTCTTGCCAAAGGTGGGCACCACACTGGCAAAGCACCATTTGTACTGCATCTGCTTCTTGACCCTGCTTGTCATCTTCTCTTCCTCTCCTTCCTCCTCCTCTCTCCTCCCCTCCCCCTCTCCTCTCCCTCATCTCCTCTTCCTCACTCCTCCTGTTTGGCCATCTTTGGAGTCTGACCTCTCACTTTTCCAGTCCAAGCTAGGGGACCATGGGCTTTACCTCCAAGCATGCGACCAGCTACATCCAGAGTGGCCAGGGCTTCCACCCCACCCTGACCCAGGGGGGCCTCATCCTCCAGCCATTTACCTGCCTGGAGCATGGCTTGATCTTCCGGCATGATGCCCTCCAGTGAGGCCACATGAGCCTTGATCTGGGTGACCATCTTTTGACCAGTCACCTGGAGTGTGTGTAGGTCCTGGGCACGGACCAAGAGCTGCATGTTGATGGCTGAACGGCTAAAGGCTGACCCAGATGCTGCTATCACGAAGGTGGAATCCAGAAAAAGGAAAAGTGAGAGTGAGCTATCCTCACTACTACACACCACCTCACTACACTAGCAGTCATTTCTTGCAGGGGACAGTATGAGCACCACAGGTCAGGGAGCCCCTCAGAGAAGCTGCCTTCCAAACAGGTTTCCAGTACAGCTGCCCTCACATTCTGCATGGTCCAGTTGTTTCTTATCATTAAGCACAGGATGTATACACAGGCGGGAAATTGCACATAGCACAAGGCTGAGTTTTTATGAATTATAAGACCCATGTAAGCAGCACAGAGCATTCCTGGACCCCAGAAACACCCTTCCCATGCCACGGGCCTTTCAGATTATTCCCCCTACCTCCCTGAAGAATACCCACTCTCCTGGCTTCTAACATCACAAGTGAGGTCTAGAGCCCAGTATTAACCCCATCAACACTGAGTCAGTAGATGTCGGCAGAAGAAAAACTGCACCAGCTGACTTGGATTTGCTGTGGATTGCGTCTCAGCTGTCTGCCAAAGGTCCTCATGTTAAAAGGCAAAGTCCCCAGCTGGGTGCTCTTGGGAGGTGGTGGAGCTGTAAGAGGCAGGACCTAAGGGGAGGTTTTTATGTTATTGGGGGCAGTGGAACCCCAGTATTTCCTTCTCTCACTTCAAACTGTGATATTAGCAGCCCCTGCTATAAGATGCTGGCATCAGCTCAAAGCAACAGCACCCATGGACCATGGACCAAAAAACATGCTGCTTCTCTTTGAAAGCCGATTCACCTCAGGTACTTTCTATGGTGACAGAAAGCTAGCTGACATGGATTCCAACTGACTTGGACTACAGTGCTTCCAGACATCCCTTGCTGGTCTACCTGGGCACCAATTCTATCTAGTGCTGGGCTCTGTGTAACTGACAGGTGGAGAAATCTCTGCACGAGGAGGAGCTAGTGACAAACTGAATGAAAGAGGAAGCAAACTGGCAGTGTTTTCTTCTGATGGCTGTGTTTATCTTCAGGTTGAATCTACAACAAATGTCACTCAAGGTCAGCTCCTGCCCAGAATAATATGGATTAAAACCACTACTCAGCTCTGACAGCCGGTATCACCTCAGATGCAAAGCCTTTCAGAGTGAACTCCTTCGGTTCATTCTAGCGAGTCAGAGTGTCAGAAGCCGCATTTCCATCCTGGAAGCAGCTGGACACACAGAAATAAGTGACTCCCTTGGTCACTAAGTCCCACAGTGAGCCGGGGGAACCTGGACTGCCAGCCAGGGACCCAGGCTGGCTCCAGTCTGCCAGACACTGCCTAGCATCCATGGGCACCTCCCAATAATTGGGGCTCTTTGCTGAGTGACCTGGGCATAGGTTCGGGGTGTAAAGTGGGCACCTGGCATCAATTCCTGGCAGTTTCCTCTGAGAGGACTCCACAGGGTCCCCTCAGGGCTTTGGGGTGCTAGGAGTATCAGGATACTGCAGTCACATGACAAGTGACATCTGCTATGCTCTGATTGCTCCTAGAACTTCTTTGGCTTCTTGAGAGCTGGAGGACAAGCCTTAGTTTTGTCATGATTATGTCTCATTTGGGACCACTTTTGTCATAGGTTTCCCCATCCAAGACCAGAGCCCCAGCCAGTCCCTAATAATCCACATTGGCATTTGCTGAGCACTGTCACTACATCAGGGTCCAGATTCTACTCTGCAAGCACCTTGAGAGGAAGCCTAGAGTTTCCTATTGTACAGATGAAAGACTGAGACTCCCCAAGGCACCTGGCTAGCACATAACAGAGGTAGGATTTGAACTGGGAATGTGTAGCTCCAAAGCCCGGGTTCTCACCCAGGGTCTTTACAGGACATTGGAAAGGCCCCAAGGGCGGCCACCAAGCCCAGCTCTAACAGCTTTCAGAGCCCCTTCCAAGAGTCAGAAGGCTGCTGATAGAAGATGAAGCAGCAAAGTCAAGGAACCTCAGCCCTAGCAAGGTCCTGGCGGTCCCCAAGCCCTGCCTCCTCTTTGCAGGCAGTGAGGAGACATGCCTGCAAAGTCCCTGCTGCTGGCCCAGGTCTGCCCAAGACAGGACAAAGTGGGCTCAGGGCTCCCAGGCCTCCCCCTGCCTGTGCCCAGCTGCCCCTGGAGCTCAGCTGTCTGTTTTGCCTTTAAAGCTGGGGTGGTGGAAGATGCATCCCAGCAAATGGCCCTGGGAAGTGGGTGATCAGGGCCCCAAGATAGGGCCTCCCCACCACTCCTTGTGCTTTGGTGGACTTTGTTAACTTCGGGAAAGCACTGTGGACAGTTCATTCCCTTGGCCTGTCCCTGATGAGTGCAGCACCTGCTGCCACACAGACAGCACCGTCCTTCTTCGGGAACTGGCAAATACTGAATCGAGAGGAACAGCCAGAGTCCTTGGTTCGAGGGAGTCCACTGAACTTTGGCCTGGAGGATGAGCTCATGGGCTTTGGAAGCAGATGCATTTTATAGGTCCAGTAAAATAGACTCAGCCCACTATTATGTGGCAGGTGTCATGGAAACCTGCCTTGAATTTTCTGTTGGAGAAGGAAGCACAGCCCAGTTCAGGGACCTGTCTGAGGTCACTAAGCCACTGAGGGAGGGTGTCAAGGTGAGTAGCCCATGGCTGTTGAGCCTGCTGGCCACCCTGCCTGTCACACAGGAGTCCCTCAAACCTTCTTCTGCTCCCGTGGAGAAGCCACCCCCTTGGGCTCTTAGCGGTGAGGGGTGTGGGCCAACCTCATGCCGCCACCTCCTCGTATCTGGTCTTGCAATCCTCCCCACCACTGTGAGGCTCCACACAGCTGCGGTTCACAAGCAGAGATGCTTACAATCTGCCCAGCTAATACGTGGCCGAGCTGGCAGGAGCCTGCTGCGGTACAAGGACAGATACCCAGCCTGTGAACGTCCCGGGCCTTTTGTGGATCAGAGGTGCAGGGCTTGTGTTTGCAGTTCCCAGTGGCTGCTTCTTCCCGTTCTCTGCCTGAGGCGTGGCTTGGGGTGTCCAGAGAAAGGGAGGCCCCTATATCCCGGAACTGCCTCCCTGTGAGCCCAAGTTCCCATTCCTTTCCAGGCAAAGTGGCACTGGCTCTACTTTTACCTTGGCCCTTCTCTATTCCCTGAGGTCCCTTCTCTTTCAAAAACCTGTGCTCCTCCTGTGGGGCTTTCAGTGGGAGTCCTGCGGATGGCTGCTCTGCCTGTCTGAGCCAAAACCACACAGCGACAGTGCAGGGATGGGAGACGGGCAGAGGGTCTTCCTCTAGGACACATGGTGCTGAATCATCCCTCCATGCACCCATTGTCCGTCTACATCCACCAGTGCCCAGAGTGGTGGCCCTCGTGGGGTCCTGGAGACCCCCAATGAGGAAGAGTCATCTCCCTCCCCCTTCCCCCCGTAGAAGACCACAGCCCAACTCAGGGGTTGGACCAGTGGGTGGGACTTGTGTGACAACCCAGGTACTGTAAGAGCTCGGGGGAGGGAAAGATCAGTTCCAAAGCTGGGAGGGACAGTGGTGGTAGTGAGAGCAGGAAAGAATTCCAGCTGAGCTCACCAGGTGGTTGGGATTCTGCAGAGGCCCTGGAAAAGGCAGGCCTGAGCACACTGAAAAAATTTGTTTTCTGTTTTGAGTCTGGATTGTTTTGTCCCATATGACGATCTCTAGCTCTATACATTTTCCTGCAAATGACAGAATTTTGTCCATCTCCCTTGTGGCTGAATAGTGCCTCATTGTGTACAGACTGCGTTCTCCTTACCTGTCCATCTGCTCAGGGCACCTGCACGGTTGCACATCTTGGCTATTGTGAATGGCGCAGCAGTGAATGTGGCTATGCAGGCTTCCCTGATGCCTGGTGGCTTTGTTTTGGGTATACACCCAGGGATGGAACAGTTGGATCGAATGGTGACTATACTTTTAATTTCTTGAAGACTCTTCATACTGATTTTCACAGTAGTTGTATTAGCTTCTGGTCCTATCTGCAGTATAGAAGGGTTCCGTTTTCTGCACATTCATGTCAGCATTTATGGCTTTTTATATTCTTGGTGATAGCCATTTTGACCTGGGTGAGATTAAAATCTCAAGGTAGTTTTGATTTGCGTTTCCCTAATGGCTACAGATGTTGGACATTTTTCTCGTATACTTCTTAGCCATTTGTACTTTTGCGACACGTCTGTTCAATTCTTTTGCCCATTTATCGATTACACTATTTGATGTTTTTGGCATTTTCTGAATTCTTTATCTCTTCTAGATATTAATCCTCCATCAGAGATTAGCTAAACACCCTGTCTGAAAACCCTGCAGACTCAGAGATTCCAAGAATCACAGACACTTTGGAGGTACTGTTCTGCTGTACTGGAGACTGAATCCAAAGCCTTGTGCATGCCTTGGATGGTGACAAATGCTCTAGCACTGAGCAGTGTTCAGCAGCCCCAATGGACTTCCCTTAGCTCCACTAAGAATGCATCATAAGATGACCAGTGTTTTGCTCCAGAGCCCTGAAAGAAGGGTGAAACCCAGAGGAAAAAGCGGGTGCTGGCGCAGGTGACAGAAGACTCCACACTAAGAGATGTTTAAGAGGTGATATCTGGTGACACAGTCAGGCACAGTCGGCCTCACCAGGCATGTTCCCCGCGCAGCAAGAGTGGCCTTTAACCCAGCAGCTGAACTGGGGACAGTCCCTCTACAGGGCTGGAGTCTTCTGGAGGAAAGGACGTGGAGCCCTCAGCACAGGTAGCAGCACCCAGCACTGGCGTCAGCTCTCCCTCCTGCTTTGAAATGAGACGGAGCAAGGTTAATTCCTCCAAGGGCTGCTTCTTTCCAGCCCTTCCCAGTGCAGATGTTCTCAGTGGCCTTATCGGCTCAGCCTTAAACTTGGAAGCCAGGCTCTGGGCTGTGCGCCTCTGGCTCACCAAGAACCTTCCGAAAAGGCAGTCCTCCCAAGGCTGAGGATCAGGTCCCTGGACTGACTCGTTCTGGGAAGGTGGCTCCGTGGTGGTGGCCCAAAATGGTGCTCTCAGTAGCCATGTGAGACCACCAATTCGCAAGGCCCTTTCACCCTCAGAGTGGCTTCCTCCAGGGACAGGAAGGACGTTTCCCGGCTTGGAGGCTGGGATGGTGGGACAGTGTTGAGTGGCTGTCTGTAAAGCCGTGAGCTGCTTGGGAGGCAAGTTCCAGCCACAGTCCACCCGTGATGAGCTGGCTAAGGAAAGCAGGGGCCTGGGAAAGGCCGATGAGCTATTATGCGCCTTCTCTGGGGGCTGCATAACAAGAGGCTCTGAGGGTTCTGGTGCTGGAGCCGATCTTGGACAAGGGAGC